AATCCTCAGGTAAACCTAGTTTCTGCTGAACTCCTTGCTCCTCCCTTGAACTTCCTATTTAAGCCACGCCTCTGCACTTCCTGTTTGCCAGATTATTGTGCTCCTGCCAATATCTTGCTTCCTGCTCCCTCTGTGATACAATCCGCTCATACTGCTACCCGTGTACCGACCTTTGGCTGCTGATTTACCGACTACTCTCATCATCTTTTGCTTCGTACCTGATACATTTGACTGCTGACCTCGGCTTGTTCGCTGACTACGCTTCTGCCTGCTCCTACACTACTACCGTCTGCTTGTGTACCAAACCCGGCCTGTTATACAACGAAGTTGCCTGCTGCTTCAGCTACTGGACTCCGAGCCTGATCCCAGATCGTGACATACTGGTAGATTAATTTCTATAGCCGGACTTCAGGCAGCAACAAAAGACACAATTTATGCAAATCAATACTCATTATTACAGCAGTGCAAGTGTCTGAATTTGACGTGGTATCAGCCTCTTGTAGTCCGTATACTGAAGAGCTTAGACTGGGAGATGGAGAAGCAGTACAAAGAGTCAGTGCTTATGTGTTAATAAGGTACATGCTGGTGCAAGGAGACATCAGAGTGACAAAGAGATGAGCTCAGTCAGCTGATTCTCCTTTCACTGTCCAGTCCATGGCTGCAACTAACGATTATTTTTATAATCGATTAGTTGGCCAATGAATTTTTTCGATTAATCGGATTTAAAAAAATTAAATAGCACCCTTAATTTCAAATAAAATACACAAGTGGAGTTTTTACAAACATCAAGTTTACTTCGGAATAAAACTGCATGTACAGTTTTTTTCAACCGCACCATACTGGAACTGCATTTCCAACTGCATTGCTGTACCGCAGAGTCCTCAATCTCAATGAATCCCAGCACTCAATGAACAGGAAGCATGGAGTACAGAGGCCTCCTGTTCATTCATAAATCGCGGAGATAGTAAACAGATACTATGACCACAATCATGATTGAACAGGAAGTGATGTAGATCACTTCCTGTTCATTCATAATTGGGGACACAGTATCTGAATACTATGTCCTCAGTTATTTACAAACATCGTACTGATCACTGCGATGCTTGAATATTTGCTGACAGGGGACCATCAACGAATATTTCACATATTTGCTGATCCTCCCGCAGATCTCCTCCCCGCACCACCTCCCTCGGCCTCCCGACAGCTTTCTCCTCCCTTCACTGGCAGGAGAATCAGATCTGTGTCCCCTCCGATCCCCGCTGCCGTTGCAGGTGGGAGAGAACAGCGGGGATCAGAGGGGACACGGACCGCAGCATGCAGCCAGCTTCCAGCGGGGAGGAAAAAGCGGCACAGGGGCGAGGGGTTTGTGAAGTTTTGGTGGATCTCTTCTCACTGCTGGGCACTGGCTGCAGGGGTCTGTGTGCCCTCCGATCCCCACTGGTAGCAGCAGGGATTGGAGGGGATACAGAGCCGATGAAACTCTGGCTCCCAGCACGGATGAGGCAACCAAGGGACCCAGGCCAACTAATCAATAATGAGAATAGTTAACAACTATTCTCATTGTCGATTATTATTAGTTGGTTACGGCACTAGTCCAATCACAGGCTGGGGGAGGGACAAGACCTGTCTGTGTTTTTGAACTGCAGCTGGGAAAAATCAGGTCCCATCCCCCTGCCAGGCAGGGCTGTGCTGCATGCCAGAACTGGATAGAGAGGACATTAAATCCTTTGGCAGGAAGAACAGCCCCCATATATGTACTTTATCATTAGAGGTGCACCGAAATGCAAATTTCAAAACCGAAACGAAACCGAAATAAAAAAATGTCTGCCCGAAACCGGAAATATTTTATTTTTATTTACTTTGTATGAATTTATTTTTATTTATTCATTTTTATGAAATATTTTTATTTTTTACTTTACTTTTAGGGGCTTTGGGGAAATATTGGGGGTCTACCCAGACCCCTGATATCTCCCTTTTAAAATAGAAAAAGAGATTGAGGACACAGAGTCCTCAGAGACACACAGAGTCCTCAATCTCTTTTTCTGTGTCCACTGTTATCAATGAATAGGAATCCTCTATACTGAGTGTTCCTGATCATTCATAACATGAGGACAGAGTGTGTTTACTATAACTACAATCATGAATGAACAGGAAGTGATATAGATGTGATGTAGATCACTTCCCATTCATTCATAATTGAGGATATAGTAACCATACTCTGTCCTCAATTATTTACAAACACTCAGCGATCACTGACTGTTTGTACCGCTCTCCATCCTGACAGCTGTCACAGGAGGCTGGGCAGGGGGCGGTGCGGGGAGGAGAGCTCAGCCTCCTGTGACAGCGCGGGCTGTCTCCGCCCACAAACCGCTCTGCCGGACTGTGATAGGAGGCTGAGCGGTGGGGGAGGAGAGACGCCGGCCACTCACAGCCCTCTCCTCCCGCAGCGCTCGACCGGCTGTCACAGTTTCTCCCCTCCCCGCTGGGACACAAAGCAGCGCTCAGCGGGGAGGAGAGAGTACACGGATGTGCCGCTGTATCGGCCAGCAAATGGCACTTTTTCGGCATTATGCCAAAAGTGCTATTTTCGGCCGATATGTTTCGGCGGACGATATATCGGCGCATCCCTATTTATGTGTGTATTTAGTGTTTTGTCTGAAATTCAGCTTTAAAGTTAATGGCATCTTAGCGAGGTTGGCCCACAAAGTGAGCAAGAGTGTGGAATGAGCATTAGATTGTAAGCTCTGCTGGCAGTATCGGGTTTGTGTGAATGGCTGTAACTGCAAAGTGAAGAGTAATATCTGTGGGTAAAAAAATTTCTATTTTGATATGCAAAACATACAATATTCACAACCAACAAAAGATGAAGCCGTGGAAATAAGATTTGGTCATTCAACATTAAACAAAGCTGAAGGCAAGATCTTTAAAGGCGTTTACTCCCTCAAAGATTAAAATTCATTCCTTCGTCTCTCCTCTGGGTTTCTATGGCTATTACGGTATGGGTGGTCTTACCCCCCTTTTGGTGGTCCCGCTCTTTTATTTTTAAGATGTATAAAACCTCCAAAGTAACAAACTCAGAATTAACATATTAAAAAAGCGTTCAGCCTAATCCACAAGAGGAACTTTATAAAAAAAAAACCTATTAGCATATTCGATTGGCTGCCACATGGACCACAGCCATATCTGGGAAATCTCCTAGAATTATTCCTAATATAAAGCCCTCGGCCGAGGTTGAAGATGTTCATGAGAAAGAACGTTATTTTCCTATCGCCAAATGCAGATCTTTAAGATTGATACAGCATGGAGCTTTTGATCTTATTCCTTAGCCTTTGGATACAACCATTGCATGACTAAATTGAGAGGCGCGTAGAGGACCAGTACAAATGTGCTCCTTACCAAAGTTCTTGAAGTGATTGTAGCCGTATTAGTACGCTATTGGAATGCGGTTGTGTCCTGCCCATGATACTTTATTTGTTTGCCCTAACATCTCAATTTTCAGGACCTGCCACCTTCTTCTAAGGCCCAAGCAGTAAGGTCCAAGCAGTACTCTCTGACCTTCAAGTACTGCTTGAGCCTTAGAAGAAGGAGGTAGACCCAGCGATCTTTACTTCTCTATATCTGTAGGGCCCGCCACCTTCTTCTAAGGTCCAAGCAGTAAGGTCCAAGCAGTACTCTCTGACCTTCAAGTACTGCTTGAGCCTTAGAAGAAGTAGGTAGACCCAGCGATCTTTACTTCTCTATATCAGTAAAAAAAAAAAAAGTCAAGGCAACTAGACTTGCTGTATTTTTCTTGAAGACGTTTTACTGGTCATCCAACCAGCTTTCTCAATTCAGAATGACTTGTACAAAATATTCGCTGGGAATAAATATGGTGAATGTTACTCTAATCCACATCATCTGTTAGTCTGTTGAGTGCATTTGCATAATTGGAGTCTAGGATGTGTTATTAACCTGTTAAAACAGCATTGTATGTGGCAGACAATAGATGTCCCCGCCCTCTATTCAAGCTTGGCTTCTCCATCTTTACATAAATGGCCTCTTTCACACCTCTTTTAAACCAGTCCTCCTCCCTGTCTAGGATGCGTACTTGACCGCCTTCAAAGGAGTGACCTTTTTCTTTAGATGTAGGTATACTGCTGAATCCTGACCAGAGGTTTTTACTTCTCTATGGATCTGCTCCTCTTTCTCTCTCATACACAGACAATATGCCAATATTAACATACACTATATGAACAAAAGTATGTAGTTTACGCCCCCCCTCCCCATTTCCACCCCACATAATGGAGTTAAATGTTTCCAGTGATGGATACTATTAAAGGAGAACTATGGGGTTAAGTCTTTCCCCCATAGTTCTCCTTAGGGTAACGGGAGGACACAAACTAGCGTCCTCCCGTCACCCTAGGCTCAGTATACAGGGAGCTACAGCTTGCGGTATACTTAGACGCCGCAGCTGAAGCGGATCCCGACAATTGTGCCCGGGATCCGCCCAGCTGCGTGACTGACAGCTGGCTCTGCCTATCTAGAGGCAGAGCGAGCTGTACCCGCCCGTTCGTTCCGCCAGTCAGCGCTGGCGGATCGGAGCGGGGAGGAATCCAGCCACTCCCCTGTCACGGCAGAGAGCCGTGACAGGATCGAGAAGTGAGCGAACGCCGGTATGTGTTCGCTTACCTCCCGATCTACTGAGCCGATCTGTGACAGTCTCATTGTCACAGGTCGGCTAGAACTATGAGGTGAGTGAAAAGCACTCCCCCCATAGTTCTCCTTTAATGGTAAACATAGTATCACCCTTCATACAATGTTCCATGTTCCGCCCATAGTTAAGGTGGAACATACCCCCCCACGTACCTCAATTGCACGGTTGTTCTCCCTGCCGGCTTCTGAATATTTTTTAACCTATAAAAATATTTTAAAAACCTATAACAGCTGACACTTTGCTTTTCATATCCTTTTATACCGTTACCCTGTGAGATAAACATCCTGTACTTTCTTCTTCCTTACAGAATATGACCGCCTGGGATTCCTGCTTAAATTGGACACTAAACTGTAAGTACGAGAGACGCGTTAATTTAGCCTTGAAAGCATTTTGCACTGAATTTATGTCTGTATATTAATATTTACATTGTAAATTCCACCTGAGCCATAACATTAAATAATATTCTAATATACAGAGTCCAATGCCCTCCTCTGTACAAACTTCAGTATAAATTCTAGCCAGAATAAAATGCGATCATGTTTTCCGTGCTGTCATTCTGTCTCGTAAAATGAATAACTAGGCTTTTATCTCACGCGTGCTTCGGGAGCTGTGCTGAATATTCATCTGTAATGTGCTCCATATTTTTCCATGCTTTAAAATGAACACAAGGAGATTTTCAGGCAGCATGGTCTTTGGAGAGAGGTGCGGTAATCAGCAGGCACAGGCACAGACAGAGAACAGGGACAGAGAACTGGAGGATGGAGAGCTGCAGGTACCGAGGGTAGTTGATACTATGTCATCCTCATTCCCCCTACATCACTTACTGATGTATGTTTCCCCCTCCATACCATCTGTGCTCTACCCAGTGAGCATCCCCCAACCTCTCCACCTATAATAGATTAATCTAACATGTGTATACTACCCCCATATTAACCACCATGGGAAAGAGCTGCGATGCGTCTGCCTGATGGGTGCTGTAGTCCCAGGAGGCAATGTCGGTACCTTGGTGGCTAATGGGCCCCCCCCCAAGTGATGAAACGCCAGGGCCCAATCACAGCTGCGGGCTCCGTTAACCGCCTCAGCATGCAGCAGGACCAACTCTCCACAGCTCCTTCACATGGCGGTGAGGGGTTGTGGGGCCCTTCATAGTTTCTTGCATCGGGCCCTGAAGTTTCTAGTTACGCCTCCGCAGAAGGGAATATAAATATTTATAATATTCATAAAGCCAACAGCTTTGCAAGGAGCATAGACATCTACCCATATATCCTGGCGACCCGCTGAGCCGCTTGTGCAGCTGTGTTTCCAGTTGTCACCTATGTATGCCGTGGCAGCACAATACACAGCAAAGCAAAAGGTTTGTGGACTCCTGACCATCACATGAGCTTGTTGGACCTCCCATTCCAAAACCATGGGCACTAATATGGAGTTTGCTCCCTTTGTGGCTATTCCACCCTCCACTTTTCTGGAAGGCTTTCTACAAGATTCCAGATAAATAGAACCCTAGAGCAGTTCAACCTTTTTTGTGCAAAGGCACACTTTTTTCATGAAAAAAATCACGAGGCACACCACCATTAGAAAATGTTAACAAAATGTACCTCTGTGCATATGCCCACAGTTGATCCAGAGGAAGGCAAAAACAAACAAACTGTAAAGCAGGGCAACAGGGCAAAAAATTACTTCCTGATCCCATAACGCAATTGGTTTATTTCCTGGATCAACAATCTCTGATGTTTTTTTACTTCTATAATATTAATATTAAGCTATATTTTGCACATTTAGGAATGAATCCATATTTGTTAAAACAATTTACTGAGTTAGCTAGAACTAGTTCCCAAGACCCCTAAGGTAGGCTATTCCACATTTTTACAGCTCTTACTGGGAAGAAGCAAAAACAGACGTAATCCCCCCATAGAACCCTCCACCAT